TTTCCTTCAAGCAGAGCATAGAGCAGTGTAATAGCTGGGTCATGCTCGGCAGTGACTTTGATAGGGAAAAAAAAAGCAATACACTTTTGATCAGTCTCTGTCTCTGGGTGAGAGTTCAATTTCCATCCAATTGTGCTAAGAGGGGAAGCTTTCCCCTCTGTATTTTGGCAGGCTCTGGAATGGGGTCTGCTATATGAAGTTATCCCATTGTTAAATCCTCTATCTCATTTTTACACAGGCCACTTTTGAGGGATAGTGATGGGCTTTGCCTGCTCCTGGTTTTAATGGCAATGCCTTTAATACCTAGCCATTTGATATGATGCTTGCTTTTAGTTTCTCAGAAAAAGAAAACCAACCATTTATCATAGGTAGGAAATGGCATTTGTCTCTTGTTTTACTTAGTGTTTTTAACCAGAAACAGTTCTTGAATTTTCTCAGATGCTTCACATAATTGTAAAGTTTTCAGTATGATTTTATCAGTGTGATTACTTATGTTGATGGATTTCCTAATTTTGAACTATCCTTGAGGGCTTGAAATAAATTCTGTCTGAGGTTTATTCTTAGGTGGTTAATAGATTTTGTTGTTATTGTGAATGGAATTTATTTTCTATTACATTTTCTAATTGCTTATTGCTAGTATATAGAAAAGCTATTGATTTTTGTATGTTGATCTTGTATGTGGTCACCTTGCAGAATTCTCTTAATCGTTTGTCAACTGATTTCTTAGGTTTATCTATATAAGCAATAATGTCATCTGCAAATAATCACAATTTGCCTCTCCTTTTCTAATGTTTATACCTCATTGCTTTCCTTCTCTTCTTGAAATATAGAAAACAGCTGGTGCCATTTTGAATAGTAAGATGATAAAGGTCATTCTTGGTCTTATTTCTGACTTCAGTTGGGGTTTCTATTGTTTCACCAGAAGTATGGCATTTGCTGTAAGTTTTCTTTTTATCATTGTTGGATTAAAACCAATGTATTGAATTAAAGCTATTTTTTCCTAGTCTGCTAGGAGACTTTTTCTTTTATATCATAAGTGGGTGTTGAACGTAATCATATTTTTAATTTATTAATATAATAAGTTGCTAGATATTCTATGCTGAACCATTTTTAGCAATGCTGAGATAAATCCTCTTTGGACTTGATGAATTATTCTAATACACTGCTGGATTTAATTTGTTAACATTTTTAAAGGATTTTTTGCTTTTTTGTTCATAAGGGAGATCGTGTATATATATTTTCTCCTACTGGCTTTGGTTTCAGGATATGTTATGCAGTAGAATGTATTGGGTCTCATCTTTTTTGTGTAAATGACAACTTTCTTTTTTACACTTGAAGGTTGATGAGAAACAAGCACTAATCCTATTAAAGAAAATCCAAAGTCTTAATTGGAAAGTATGGTAAACAATATTAATTACTATTTCAGTTTTATAAAACACAACTTGAAAACATCCAGCATGCATGTTTAACTTTATTTATTTTTTTTAAAGATTGATTGATTGATTGATTTATACATACAAGCACTGGGTACAGTCATAAGCGCGGGAGGGTGAGAGAATTCACCAGAGCCAGAGCGGGGAGCAGAGCAGGCAGAAGGACCAAAGTACACTGCTGAGGGGAGCAGCGGGCGGCAGGAGAGGTCTGCGACCCTCCTCTGGTGGCCGGGGAGCAGCCGGGGATTGAACCGGCAGTGCAGAGGCTGCTGGCAGCTTCGCAACCCAGCGCTCAACCGCTGCGCCGCCGGGGAGGCCCTGCATGTTTAACTTTAATAAATGAACTCAGGACCTCGCCTGGTGGTTCAGCGGTTGAGCGCTGGACTGAGAAGCTGCCCGCAGCCTCTGAAGTGCCAGTTTGATCCCCGGCAGCCAGCGAGGGTCTCACATGGCACGCAGACCTCTCCTGCTGCCTGCTGCTCCCCTCAGCAGTGTATTTCTTCGTCAGTCTGCCTGTTCTGTTCCTGCTCTGGCTCTGGTAAATTCTTTCACCCTCCCGTGCTTCTGACTGTACCCAGTGCTTGTATAAATAAATAAATAAATCTTTTTAAAAAAATGAACTCAAAACCAAATATATGTGTTATCTGCATGGAGGCAAGATTACAAGTCATGGCCTTTGTCATTGTCATCATCGTGTCTTCTTTCAATGTTTGATGAGTGATTGGTAATAATTTGTGATGACACCTGGTAAGTGGTAAGCAGAATGTTTTTGAACATTCGAAACTGCTGATGGTGGAGGAATTGATGCTTTTATATCTGGGGATTGTGAAGTGTACATCTTTTTTTGATTTTTAAAAAAGATTTTTATATATTTATGCATACAAGAGCTAGGGTACAGGCCAGAGGTGTAGAGAGTGAGAGGATTCACCACACACAAGTGGGGAACAGAACAGGCAGATTGATGGAAGTACACTGCTGAGGGGAGCAGCGGGTGAGTCAGGACAGGTCTGCTGCGCCACGTGGGTTGCTCCCTGGCTGACTGGGGATCAAACTTGTGCTACAGAGGCTGCGGATAGCTTCTTAGGTTGCGTCTTTTTTATTTTTATTTTTATTTTATTTATTTTTAAAGATTTATTTATTTATACAAGCACTGGGTACAGTCAAAAGCGCGGGAGGGTGAGAGAATTCACCAGAGCCAGAGTGAGGAACAGAACAGGCAGACTGATGAAATGTACTGCTGAGGGGAGCAGCGGGCCTGGCAGAAGAGGTCTTCGCGCCATGTGGGACCTTTGCCTGTGGCCAGGGATCGAACTGGTGCTGCAGAGGCTGCGGGCAGCTTTGCAGCCCAGCGCTCAACCACTATGCCACCAGAGGAGGCCCCATAGGTTGTGTCTTAACCCCTTGCACCACCAGAGAAACCTGTGCTCTGTAGGGGACATTGGAGTTCCTACTTTGTTGCATCAGACACAGTTTGTTGGGTTAGTTATGCCTATGGTGGAAGTACTTGGGCTGCTAGTAACTGAACTAATAGTTAACCTGGAACCATTACTTCTCCCACAGAAGCAGATGCCTTTTTTGGTAAAGATGTAAGCCTATAACTTACATAGGCACACATATCTCTCAGGTACAATCTGGGGCCTGAATATGCCTTGATCCAAGGGGTTTGATTTGGTTGCCTTGCAATATCTAATAAAACATGTCTTGGGAGCAGAGCTTAAAGGCTCCTCAGTGTGACACTGGATTGATAATTGCACAACATCTGCAGCTTTCTTAGCATGACTTATGCACATTTTGCATCATCTAGAATTGTGACAAATCAGGAGGTAAACTCCAACATTGGATTTGTAACTTTTTTTTTTAAATAAAGATTTCTTTATTCGTGCATATAAGAACTGGGGTATAGGCCAGAGGTGGGGGAGGTGAGAGGATTCACCATAGACAGAGTGGGGAGCAGAACAGGCAGATTGACTGAAATACACTGCTGAGGGGAGCAGAGCGCCAGACAGGAGAAGTCTGCTGTGCCTTGTGGGTTGCTCCCTGGCTGGGGATTGAACTCATGCTGCAGTGATTGCCCATAGCTTCACAGTGCTGAGACTTAACCCCTTGCACCACCAGGAACACCAAATAGGTGTCACAATTACATCAAAGTTTTACCTAGTTGATAGGTTTTTTAAAAAAGGTATTATAGTTTTCAAAATTTCATTTCTTTGAATATCAGTGAAGCTGAATGCTTATCTGTATATTTATTGGCTGTTACACCTCATCTCATCTGTGACTTTCCTAATCATGTTCTTCGTGCATTTTTAAAAGTGGCAAATTTGTCTGGATTCGTCTGAAAATATTCTTTATAATTAACCTGAGCCAGAAAAAGTCATGTTGAAATGTCCTGGATCTCCACCATACTACAGACATATCGCCTTCCTTTTCTCCCAGTTTGTAAGGAGCTCCTGCAAATGGGGCACCTCATGCTGAGAGCGCTCAGCAAAGGAGAAGACTCACTGCCATCTTTAAGGAGTGCTTAGTCTTGGTGTGAAGAAGGGAGGTGGGCGCCTGGATAAAGTGGAGGGAGAAAAGAGAGTGGAGAAAAAGAGCACTAGGCAGGCACTCAGGAGCTCCAGTCTACTATTTATGGGCCCAGCTGTGAACATGTGCTGAGAAAGATGAGCTTCTGGTTATATTCTGTTTTCTATACATCCAATCAGCTCCCTATTCCAGCTGACTACCACTATCTCCCACCAGGTTCTCCTGCCTCCACTGTGCTCCCACCCCTGGCAGGATGAATCTGACTCCTTCAGCCCTCTTCCCAACTCTCCTTCCAGGCCCACCCCACATAGCTTCATATCGCTCTCAGGATAAAGTAAAAAGTCAGCTCTGCAGCTCCAGACTGCCCCATCGTGAACCCCTCTTCCCGGTGCCTCGTTAGGTCACCCTGGATCTCTGTTCTAGACATGTCTTGCTTCAAGTGGATCACAAGTTTCCCTTGAGGATTTTCTTCCAGCTATTCCCTGCTTGGGACTACTTTCTTGGGCTTCTTTGTAACCCCAAATAATGCAATTTGCTCCTTATTTATCAGCGGTCCAAGCAAGAGACCAAACCTCACTCTCTCTTGGCAATTACCCTGGGAAGCTTCACTTGTCTAGTTTCTCTCTTCATCTCAACCCTTAGCAAAGTGCCAGATTCATACTGAGCACTTAATGAACAGGGTAATTAATATCATTAACTCACTTAACGAAAAAATTAAGTGGGGTATGCACTGTGTTCAAGTTTTACATGGATGATTGGTTTTTAATTCAATCAGGTACTATTACAATTTCTACTTTAGAAATAAAAATGTGGGTTCAGAAAAACTGCGGTCACTTTTCGATGCTCGAAATGCAACTGAGAAAATAAGAAGGAAATGCCAGATAACAGTAAAGCACCAACACGCGCGGGCTCGTGGGAACCCAGGACCATGACAAGCAGCGCGTCCAGGCGGCTCCCTACTCGGTTACCAGCCGGCTCCATTTCCGCGAAACACAGGCCGGAAGTGTTCCTTGCGGCAGTGTTTCTACTGCGCACGACCGGAAGTTTCTGTTCGCGGCTTTTCGGGGATAGGGGCGCTACGGCGGCTGCCGCAGCGGGGAAGCCAGGCGCGGCAGCACCAGGGCTGAGGGGGCAGATAGGGTCGTTTGAGAGACCCAAGCGGCAAGATCCTGGCGGAACCGGGGCCTGACCTGGGCCACCCTCCTCGCCGCGCGCTCCTTCCCCACGCCCCCTCTTGGGGCTGGAGCGGCTCCGCCCCCTGAGCTGAGGCTGGTCTCTCTTCAGGCACTGACCCTTGACCTCTGGGGGCTCCTGCTGCTTTTAGCGCAATGGCTACGGGCGCCGATGTGCGAGATATTCTAGAACTCGGGGGTCCAGAGGGAGATGCAGCGTCCGGGACCATCAGCAAGAAGGACATTATCAACCCGGACAAGGTAGCAGGGACGACTGAGCGTTGGGTAGCTGAGTGAGGTGGCGGGAGGGGTCACAGGGAAGAGATTGGGGAGATGAGGGGAGCCTTCTAGAGACATGGGCGGCGATAGGCGTGACATAACGGCACAGAGGATGTGATGCCTTCAGGAGGTGGGACACCGGGGGAAATGGTGTGACACTTCTATGAGAGGGCCAAGAGATGTGACACTTTGAGAATATTGGGGAGGGGCACCAAGAAGGTTGACATTCTGAGAGATGATCGAAAAGTATCTTCTACTCTAAAGCCAGGGCTCTGTCAAGATGAGGTGAGGGTTGGAAGTGAATGGCCTATTCAGACTGGGGGTGTCCCTGAATGGGTTTCTGTGCCTTCTGTGTGTCATGTCACGACGTGTCAGTATATATGTGTGTCATCTTTACCTGTAGATGCTGGTTTGTTTAGGGGTTTGCTGGGCTAATGGATTTTCAGGGAAGGGAATTGAGGCTGTGGTACCTATCTTGTGGTTTCCCTCTTCAGAAAAAGTCCAAGAAGTCGTCTGAGACACTGACCTTCAAAAGACCAGAGGGCATGCACCGGGAGGTCTATGCACTGCTCTACTCTGACAAGAAGCAAGTATTAGAACCCGAATACTCCTAGGCCCCTCATCATCATCATCTGCATGTTCCTAACTCAGCTTTCTCTGCCAACCCCCCTTACCCCCACCTCCCCTCAGCAGCCAGCCAGGACTCCTCCTTGCTTAGTAGGAAGGACGCAGGAAGAATTCAGATCTCCTGCTCCAGGATGTGACTCCCTTGCACGAGGATAGATCAGGTCCCTGGGCCAAAGACTCTACACTCTAACCTCCCTAAACTCCACTGCCAGGGATGCACCCCCACTGCTACCCAGTGACACTGGGCAAGGCTACCGTACAGTGAAGGCCAAGTTGGGCTCCAAGAAGGTGCGGCCCTGGAAGTGGATGCCCTTTACCAACCCGGCCCGCAAGGATGGAGCTATGTTCTTCCACTGGCGACGGGCAGCTGAGGAAGGCAAGGACTATCCCTTCGCCAGGTTCAATAAGGTGAGCCACCACTCTAAACCATTTCTGTGAACTCATCTCCTAGGGTTGGTGCCAGAGGCACATTCAGGCATGTGTCAACCATGGTTACTGATTCAGGCCTTATGGCAAATATCTGGAGTATGGGACTCTGTGTCTTTCCTGCCCATGAGACCCTGTCTTTTCCTGGACCTATTTTGGGGCTTGGTGGCTTTTTCTGGCCCTTCAGTTGTTACCATTTCTTAGAACTGTGTTCTGGATGATTTTCTCCCTGTGTCCTTTCTCTCTAGTGGTCTCATCTACCCTTGGTAGGCCAGTGACTTATCTCCAGTCTGGAGCATCAGTGCCCACATACCCAGTTGATTACTTAATGTCTCTCCCTGAAGGCCTCACAGGTATTTTAGATCAAGTAGTACCCTGAGCAGAACTCATAATCTGCTCTCTGTTTGCCAGCCCCCAAGCCTCCTCCCCATATTAGATACCCAGACCAGAAACTTGGGAATCATCCATGACTTAGCCTTCTCTTTTAGCTTTCATGTTATTTCATTCAACAGTCGGCCAAAGAAGTTAGAGGGAAGATAGATAATAAAACTTTAAGCAAATAAAATAAATTTGGTTCTTGCAGATAAAAGCCATCACTAAAATGAAACCAGGACATAAATGGGATATGAAATGAGGTAGCGTGAACTTGCAGTTATAGGGAGGCAACTTTAGATAAGGTGGTGAGTTAGGGCCTCTCTGAGAAGGCATCATTTGAACTAGACTTCAGTGGTATATATAACATTGCTGATTGTGTTTCCATAACAAATTACATCTGCCTCTGTTCTTCATTCCCTATGCCAGGACCCTGGTCCACGCTGAGTTACTTCTATTCTAGATTATTGAGGCTCACATAGAGAACAAAGCCTTTCCTAGACTTACCTGGTCAGTGAGAGGCAGAGCTAGGCTGGGTGAGGATTTCCTACGCTCTTTTTAAGCCACTATACAATACGGCCTTACGGTTTTGCAGCCTGAAGCAGCCTGCACTTTAAGCCTGAAAGTGCTAGGTACTTGAACCCAGGACTTTTAAGTTCCAGCTTCCCCTCAGTTCCGTATGTCTAACTGTACCTGCACATCTCCCCCTGGATGGCTCACAGACTTCTCTGACCCAGGAGTGACCCATCATTTTGCACACCTGGTTTTCCTCTCTCTCACTATCCTCACCCTCAGGTCTAGTGGAGGGAGAGGCTGGAGATGGAAGATTGAGAAGGGATAACCAAGAGGCAAGGAGGTGTCTGAGGTGATGGGAGGGAAGGTTGGATAAGACAGTTTGAGGTAAAGACAAAAAGAATACCCATTTTGCATTTAGTAAACACTATTCACTGCCAATTCAAGCTCTCGGCACTGAGGACACAAATATGAAATTCTTCATATTGGGTGAGGGAGGCACAGACAGTTAGTTTGTTGGTATACATGGCATACTGGAAGGACTTGAAAGTCATAGAAGCTTCCTGGAGAAGTTAGAGCATGGGTCTAGAAGGATGTCATCAGGTGATAATAGGAAAGGACCTTCAGGCAGATGGGACTGTGTGAGCAAAGGATTAAAATGAAAATGCCAGTCACGTGTGGGATGCTGTGGGAATTTATCCTGTTGATAAAGCCTAAAACCTAAGGTAAGACATGGTGGAAGATGAGGCCAAGAGGCCCGCAGGGGCCACATTAGGCAGGAATTGGCAAAACCAGGCCGAGGAGTTTTGAGTTTTGCCTTTATGTCTCTGGTAGCCACTCAGGATCAGATCCTAGTTTACACAGATTGACTGCAGGTGGAGAATGAAGTTGGAGTGAAGTGTGTTAATGACCTTCCCTTCAGTACTGCTTGTACTGTAGTCCTGTCCTCACTCAGTGACTGTCACACCCAAACCAGAAACACTAGTCACCTGTGATAGTACCTGCCTCCCCCCCTTGCCGAATCTTATGGTTTTTAATCTAAAGCCTTTCAGGCCTGCCTTTTCCCCCACTTTCTACTGGTATGGCTTTAATTCAGGCGTCTTCACTTCTCACCTGGATTCTGAAACCTGCCAGCTGGTCTCCAGGGCCCTGTCTCGCCACTTCTGCCCTCCCTGCTGCCAGGGTGGTCTTTGTGAAAGAGAAACATGACCCTTCTCTATTTTCTTTACAACCATGTTGGCTTCCATCCCCCTGAGGATGAATTCCAGACTCCTTAGCAGGGCACACAGGCTGTGCAGCAGCCACCTCTCCTGACATGCTGGCCTCTTTGGTGCCTCTCCCTGCCTTGTCCTTGTTTCCATGTCCCTAACCGCTCCAAGCTGCACGTGCCGGGCTCTCTCTAGTCACTGTGTGTTGTCTCCTCTGGGTAGAATGTTCTCTCAGCACTGAGCTGGGCCGCCTTTACCTCTTCCCCGACCAGCCCTTGCTCCCAGCCTGGACCTGGTGTCACTGCTACCTTTGTCATCAGACGCATACAGTGTACTAGACTGTTCCTCTTTCAGCTGGATTGCGCTTGAGAAGGTAGGGCCCCACCTGTCTAATTTGGCACTGTGCCTAATGGGCCATGATAAATACTTTTTGAATGAATCAATAAAAGACCGCCAGCCTCATTTGACTGTAAGTTCCTTGAGAGCAGGACTGGTACACAGTTCTCGAGTATTTATTTATTTTTAAAGATTTATTTATTTATTTATTTATACAAGCACTGGGTACAGTCAGAAGTGCAGGAGGGTGGGAGAATTCACCAGAGCCAGAGGGGAGAGCAGAGCAGGCAGAGTGACGAAGTACACTGCTGAGGGGAGCAGCGGGCGGCAGGAGAGGTCTGCGTGCCATGTGGGACACTCACCTGGTGGCCGGGGATCGAACCGGCGCTGCAGAGGCTGCGGGCAGCTTCGCAACCCAGTGCTCAACCACTACGCCACCAGGGAGGCCCGAGTATTTATTTATTTATTTATTTTTAAATTGGCATTGAATTGCCAGGAGGGATACTTAATTAACAAAGCTGGGAAACCAGGGAGACTTCTCAGAGGTGACGATTTCTGAATGGTCAAAAGGATGAAATGTCCTCGAAGTGTAAGGGATGAGGATATAGGAAGGTATTTCAGGCAAGAACTCAAGGCTGATGAGAGCCTGGCATGTTCCAGGAACTGCTGGTCATTTGGCTATAAGTTGCAGTCTGTGGGGGACAATGACTGCAGAAAGAGGACAGGTCATTCATCCATGTGGTCACTGATTGAGTCAGTAAATACTCATTGATACCTATAGTGTGCCCCTGACCCTGTGCTTAACCCTGAAGAAGGAAATGAACTGACAGTACTTGCTCTGGAGAGTATGTGAAATATCTAGAAGGTACTTTTACCTTAGGCTAGTAGGGAGCCTTTGCAGGGTTTATTTTTTTATTTTAAGATTTATTTTTAATTTTTTTTAAAAGATTTTATTTATTTTTACATAGAAGAACTGGGATACAGGCCAGATGTACAGGGGTTAGAGGATTCACCAGCGACAGAGTGGGGAGCAAAACAGGCAGATCTACTGAAATATACTGCTGAGGGGAGCAGTGGGCGAGACAGGAGAGGTCTGCTGTGCCATGTGGGTAGCTCCCTGGCTGGGGATGGAACTCGTGCTGCAGTGGCTGCAGATAGCTTCATAGTGCTGAGACTTAACCCTTTGCACCACCGGGGGTTTAGAACACCCTAAAGATTTAGTCATAGAAGAGCTGGGGTATAGGCCAGAGGTGAGGTGGTTGAGAGGATTCACCAGAGACAAAATGGGGAACAGAACAGATAGATTTTATTGAAACACACTGCTATGCTAAGGGGAGCAACAGGTAAGTCAGGAGAGGTCTGCTGTGCTGTTTGTGGGTCAGCTCCCTGGCTGGGGATCGAACTCAGGCTGTAGTGATGATAGTGCTAAGACTTAACCCCTAAGCCACAAGGGACTTTGAGGGGTTTAGTAAGGGATGACTGGGCAACATGATTAAATATATATTCCAGAACTGTGCTTTTAAAATTATCTCTGGTGAAGGATGTTTTTCTTTTTTAATTTCTAATCTATCAGACTGATACAGATAGAAAAATGACAAGAAAACTACAAATTCATGTTTTTCCATATTTCAGCAGTTTATCATTATAAAATTGTTTTAAAGGTTTTTAAATGCCAACTCTCAACTTCCATACTTACCACAGACCAGTGACAACGGTTTGCAAACAGCACTGTTATCTGGGCTGTCCTTTAAGTGTCACTGTTCACAGAGATCAAGGCTGCAGATGGAGAATTGCCTGGAGGATTGAGTGGAGGCAAAGAGACCCCTGGGGGGCCATTTCTCTGATCCAGGCAGTGGCAGGATGGTCTGGACTGGGATGTGGCAGTGTACGAGTCAAGAGTAAAAGCTAGCGTTAAAGTCTTTGGCTTGGGCAGCTGGGTTGGGTGATGGTGATATTGACTGAGGTTTGGACTGTGGAGATACAAGTTGGAGGGAGAGTGATGATTTCAGTATCATACACATTAAATTTGAGGTATATGTGGAACCTCCAGGAGGAGACGTCTTAACAGGCAACTGGAAATAAGGATCTTGAGAGCAGGTTGGAGCCAGTGTGGTCTTTGGTGAAGGGATACTTCCTTGGTCCAGCCTAGCATACTCATTCCAGGGGTCTCTGACTGACCCAGCTGGTGATGGCAGTGTTTGTCCCTGAGGGAGGCTTGGGGATGGGGCCTGGGAGGAGGGACTCAGGGGCATGGGCAGGTATATTGAGACTAGAAATCAAGCCTCTTTTTTGTAGAGATGTGTGACCATTCACCTCCAGAGGGCTGTAAGTCTCACTGTCACCACTGGGTGGCAGGAGTGCTGCAGACAAATGTTCTATGGACTTGAAGATCCTGGGCCTTTTTCCAGGTGTTAAGCCATCTGTGCTACTCCAGGTTGATCTCGAACTGCAGGGAAGCACTTATCTATGGGCCCCTTACCTTCACCATAGGGGCAGAAGCAGGTGTCCTATTACTGAGGTTCTGGAGCTGAAAGCATGGTGAAGATGGTTCTGGAGCAAATCCAGAGGCAGGCTGCATTCTTTGAGTCTCCAGGGCCTCTGACCCAGCAGACAGATTCTGTCCAGCCCAGGGATTGGCAATAAACAGGAGGGGCTATGGACACAGAAGGGCTTGAGCCCACTGGGCATGACAAGGGCATGCCCTCTCTGTCCCTCTGTGCCAGTAGACTGTGCAGGTGCCCGTGTATTCAGAGCAGGAATACCAGCTCTATCTTCATGATGATGCTTGGACTAAGGCAGAAACTGACCACCTCTTTGACCTCAGCCGCCGCTTTGACCTACGTTTTGTAGTTATTCATGACCGGTATGACCACCACCAGTTTAAGGTAAGCTGATGTCCTGCATTTGCATGTGGGTTCAACCCCCCAGGCCTGGCAGGCCCACTGCTTTCATTCCACACCTTCCATCTGCTTTTGTCTGTCCCCAGAGGCGTTCTGTGGAGGACTTAAAGGAGCGGTACTACCATATCTGTGCCAAGCTTGCCAATGTGCGGGCTGTGCCAGGCACGGACCTCAAGATACCAGTGTTTGATGCAGGCCATGAGCGACGACGGAAGGAACAGCTGGAGCGTCTTTATAACCGTACCCCAGAGCAGGTCAGCCCTGAGCCCCACAGACTTTCCTCTGTGCCCTGAGACGCCCTGCCCATTGTCTTCATTTCCTTATGTGACTCACCTCTGTATCATCCTACTGGTACCCACAACCCCTCCCAGTCCTTCCTATCTCTCACTGGCTACCCTCCCTATCCACTTTAGCCCATAATCTCCCTCAGAATCCCTCCTTGTTTGCCTCACAGACAGCTCAACACCTTGCTCCCCCATGTGCCCTCACACAGTTCTCAGTCTGTTGATTCCCCAGGTAGCGGAGGAGGAGTATCTGCTGCAGGAGCTGCGAAAGATCGAGGCCCGAAAGAAGGAACGGGAGAAGCGCAGCCAGGACCTACAGAAGCTGATAACAGCTGCAGACACCACTGCAGAGCAGAGGCGCACAGAACGCAAGGCCCCCAAGAAGAAGCTACCCCAGAAAAAGGAGGCTGAGAAGCCGGTGTGGCGGCTAAGTCAGCCCAGCTGAGGGTGGAAGGGCTGTCTGGCAAAGGGGATCCCTAGTAGAGGGTTTTGAGAGCAAACAGAGCTGGCAGGGGACTGACATTAACACTGGGCCTTTTCCCTATGACACTTTGGTCTCAGCAACTCTTCCTTTCCAGGCTGTTCCTGAGACTGCAGGCATCAAGTTTCCAGATTTCAAGTCTGCAGGTGTCACGCTGCGGAGCCAACGGGTACGTGAGTCACTTTCTTCAGTGCATTTGGGCCCTAGGCTCTGTGGCCTGAATGCTGCAGACTGGGGCTGTAGCAGTGACAAGGCTGTGCCATGTGCTGTGGCCGGAGGTGGCCTCCCTTGGATCTAAGGGAGATGTGGCCAGGCTGAGGCCACAAAATTCATTGTGTTACTGGCTGCTGCCTTTTCTGGCCCAGAGCTGCCTCTAGGGGCTAACTTCCACTTCCCCATGGCCTTTAGTTGCCTTGTTGGGAGAGGGCTTAATTGCCTGGGTCATTACAGATGAAGCTGCCAAGCTCTGTGGGACAGAAGAAGATCAAGGCCCTGGAACAGATGCTGCTGGAGCTTGGTGTGGGTGAGTATGGGATGTACCCCCTCGAGGCCATGGATAAAGGCTGGGCAGGGCGAGGGCACTTTCTGTCACTGGCCTTCCACCACACCTAGTTCTGCCCCTGTGCCTCCCACCTACCCACCTGCAGAGCTGAGCCCAACACCCACGGAGGAGCTGGTGCACATGTTCAATGAGCTTCGGAGTGACCTGGTGCTACTCTACGAGCTCAAGCAGGCCTGTGCTAATTGCGAGTATGAGCTGCAGATGTTGCGGCACCGTCACGAAGCACTGGCCCGGGCCGGGGTGCTGGGCGGCCCTGCCACACCAGCATCGGGCCTGGCCCCGGCCTCTGCTGAGCCAGTGATACCTGAACCGGGTCTTGGCCCTGACCCCACCAAGGACACCATCATTGATGTGGTGGGCGCACCGCTCACACCCAATTCGGTAAGAGCCTGGGCAGGCTGGGAGAGCAAGGGCTGACCCTGCATGTGAAGGCGTGTGGGCCCGCACCCCCTAGTGCTTGCAGCAGGAAATGTCACGAGGGCTCTGTGACTGAGGGTAGGAGTGGGTGGCCAGTGGGCATCACTTTCCCTAAGAATGTGAAACACACCAAGCCTGAGTCAGGCCTCGGGGGCCACTGACCTCAACACCTTCTGTCTCTCCTCAGAGAAAGCGACGGGAATCGGCCTCCAGTTCCTCTTCTGTGAAGAAAGCCAAGAAGCCATGAGAAGCCGCGTGGGGTGTGGGTGATGCTGCTGTGTAAATAGAGCTGCTGAGTTGGATCGGGCTGCTATCTTTTCCTTCTCTGATGCACCTGGCTGGGAGGGTGGCCAGGAGGGGGGTCTCCATACCTGTTCCCTGGGGCCGGCATCGGGGCCTGCCTGCATTGAGGCCCTTACTGGCCCTCCAACAACTAACCTTTGCCAGTTTAGCCCAAACACCTGTACCTGGGAACCCCCGTGGCTCTACATTCAGTGTTTTCACACAGCAGTGGCCTCAGAAACCAGCAGCTTTGAACATAGCATCGTGCTCAGACAGTCGCTGGGGCCCTGGGCATACCCAGCGAGCCTCTCAGGTGCTCCAGTGACCGCAAGCCACACTAGTGGCCTCATGTAGAGAGCAGCCTGGAGCATGCTCTAGCCCCCAAGTTCTGACAGTGTCAGGCACAGCGCCCGGCTGGTCCACACACACCCAGGGCCTCATTTCCCCGTCTTTATTCAGTGGCACGTTCACAGTGGGGATGGGGGCGGACGTGAGGTGGGGCCTGATCTGTCCTGGAGCCCTGGGGGCACCACACACCATGCACTACGGATGGGAGGGGCACAGGGGGGCTCGGTGGCCCCGGCAGAAGCCTGTGTACCAGGGAGGAGGCGGTGAGTGCCTGAGCCCCCCGAGCCCAGGCCCACAGTGGGAGGGGCTGATACTGAAGTCGAGGGGTGGGTGGGGGCACAAAGTGTCTGCTCCAGAGGGGCCAAGTGGCCGAGCCCTCACCCAGGGCACAAGCCTAGGCTGGGGGACATTCTGGACGTAGAGCTGTGCCACTCCCTTTTCCCCTCTGACGAGGGAGAGGAGGGTCCCGGGCTGGACCACGCAGCTACCCTGTTCTGCCCCATCCTGTCCTCGGCCAGTCAGAAGGGTTTCGATGTCTGCTTGAAGATGAAGCCTCGATACGCGAGGGTCTTCATGATGTTGGCAATGTTCTTGCAGTCATCTAAAAAGAGGAAGAGAAGACATTTAGGCGGGTCCCAGCCGCTTCCCTTCTGGGCTGTACACGCTCTTACACAGGTGGCAGGTGAAGCGGGGCCAGATTGAGGAGGCACAAGCTCTGGACAAGGGAACCCATCCCCTGGTGGCGGCAGTTCCAGCTTTAGGTTGGGTTAGGTGATGCTGGGCCGGCAGGAAGCCTGGTCTCTGCTTCTCAGTCCCATAATTCATGCTGGAAATTGGCCGGTGTGTCCCGCCCCAGCCCCAGTGGTGATGTATGGGCGCCGTCGCAGTAAGAAAAAGGCAGAGTAAATGTGTAATTTCTCCCTTGACGGCCCCTGGCCGCTGGGCGATCCTTCTTGTTGCCGCCGCGTGGGGACGGCCTGTCCGCCACACTCCGTCTTCCCGCCACCCGCCTTGATGTCTCCATTTCATTACTGTGCTGCCATTCATCACACCCACGGCCAGGGTGACTTTGCCGGCACTTGCATGTGTGTGGCTGTGGCCCAGGCCATAATCATTGGTCACCGGGCACAAGCCTTGGCACTTCTGGGCCAGGGCCCTTGGGAAACACCTGCCCTGGGGCCCAGGCTTGTGTGTTCTGGAAGCAGTCTGCCTGTGCCTCTACAGCCCACACCAATGGAGGTGGTCCAGGCTTGCGCTGCCCTAATGACATGCCCAGTAGCCTCCTACCGGACATGCCTGTGTACCTCAGCCCGAGTACTGCCTCTCCTACTCCAGCAGGCTCCAAGCTCGTTAAATATCTGTGCCTGCCAGATCCTGTCTGGTATCCCAATATTGATCCCTGTGAGAAACCATGCTCATAACTGTCCTAGACCGCTGGCACCACAGGAGCAGACACTCAGGCCTCTGTACCAAGTATGCTGGCCAGGCCTTGTTCCACCACCACCAGCAGGAGGTGCAGTGGCCGAGCTTTTCCCACTGTAAAAAGTCCAGGTCGGAAATGCCCAGGTGCCTGCGTTTTTCTGTTCTGCTGAGAACAGACACCAGCTCCCATCCCTTCACTTGCCTCTCTCCCCACCCCTCTCCACCTCCCATAGATGCTTCTGGCCTGTAACCACAGCCTCATTTGCACCAGTCCTCATGGGTTCAGTGCTGTGCAACTGCAGTATTGTGCACTGACAACATAATCAGGGTGTGTGGGGGGGGCAGGGGGGTAAGGTCACTTTGGGGCCAGAAGGCCTCTGAACCCGTCAAGGAACAACCCTTGCAACAGCCCTCCAACCCAACCCTTGCCAGAACCTGTGACCAGAAATGGGGATCCACCAGAGCTAGAAAGGGCTACGGAGCCAGAGGAGTTTCTGGTTAGTCCAGGGCTAGTAGCAGCCAGACACCAGCTCTGCAGACGCTGCTTAGGGCAGACAAGTTACCAGGGACCAAACATGAATATAACCACAGTAGATGTGGGCATGCAGAGGTGAGCCAGGACCCAGACCCAGGGACACCTTGTTCCTCCAGAGACTCAGGAAGCCACGAGGGCTGGTCTGAGGCAGAACAGTGGGAAGACGGATGGGTGGGTAGTGGCGACCATGGCAACTCCAGACGTGACCCATCCCCGTGCTTTATGGGCCGGACACGCGCCCCGCTCAGCTGAGGCCCTGTCATTTGTCTCCCTTAGTGTGTGCCTGTGCTGTGGGGGCAGAGGTGGAGGGGGCTGTGGCAGGAGGAGCTAGGCAGTTGACAGGAAGGGGATGGGGCAGGAAGAGCTGGGCAGGAGGGTTGGGATGCAGATGGGACAGGAAGGACTCTGAGAGGAGGGAGGGTTTATGAAAGGGCCCAGGAGCTGTGATGTGCTTTCCAAGACACTACAATAGGGTAATTTTCTTTCCAAGTAAGTCTGGCCTTGTCAGGGTACCTCCAATCCTTCCTGTCTCCTGTACTCTGGGGACCATGGCTGCTGTGCATATTAAGAATAAGTCCCCTCGTTATCTGCAATTACCCAGCGGCCACACACCTCATTTCTTCCAGCAGAAAAGAAAATTAGTTTTCTATTGACTTCATCGGGCTCCTCCCTCATTGCTGGACAAATCGCTCAATCTGCCTCCCCTGGCCCAAGTGAATGTGCCCAGTGCCCCTGCCCCCAGCCCACCCCACCCCTAGCCATCAGTGGGCAAGCATTGACCTGCCACCTTGCCTGGCTCTGAGTTGGGAGAAGGTCCATGTGCCCCGTCCTACACACTGGATGGCTTCATCCACACCCTGAGCTTCAGCTACCTCTAGAGATCACCCTCTTCAGCCTGGACCTGTCTCCCCAGCTCCAGACCACATATCCAAAAGCCCCTGAAACATCCTTTTCTCAGTGTGTGTGCGTGTGTGTGTGCACATACGCATGTGCAAGTATGCATTAACTTAAAACTTCCAAGAACACCAATTTTCTCCCACAAGCTTCTTCACTCCCCTGTGTTCATCCCAGTGAATGGCCCAAACCCCAGAAACTTTGCCCAACACAAGAAACCTGCAGCGTGCGGCAGACTTTACACTCCTTGCTCCTCTACCTGGTACACTCTTCACTGATTAATAAACAAAAAAAAAAAAAAAAAACACAAACTGCAGATTTTATCTTCCTATCCTGTCTCATCATTCACTTCCCTTCATTCCAGTCGCCCACTACTCCAGACTCCCATCATCGCTTGCATGACCCACACTTTCTTTTCCTTCTAATCCATTTTGTACCCAAAGGGATCTTTCTTACACACACCTGATCATGTCCTTTCCGCTTTAAATCCCTTCACTGGCTCCGCTGCCCTGTCTTCATAAGGCGAAAGGCCCCGTACAAAGAGAGGTCTCTGACCTCACCTCTGCCACTCTCTATGCCCAGCCCCCAAACTGCACTCTCAAGGACACATGCACTGTTTTCTGAAAACAGCAAAGTAGACTTTGGAGTGCGACCTGTTTCTAGTCTAAACTTCACCCACTGACCGTGTGACCTGTAGCAAGGGCTTCGTTTCTCTGAACATGGGTTCCTCACCAGGGGTGATAACGGGTACCACCTCAGTGTGACGGTGCCGACTGTGTAAGGTGATGCACCCACATGTCTCTGCACATTGGTTCAAAGATTGGTTGGCCCAGTGGTGAGAAAGTATATACTGTGTAGTCCGTGCCACAAGTGAAGAGGGGCCAGCGCAGCTGATGAAGCCAGTAGTCAGTCACTGACTACTGACCCTATTTACTGCGGATTCTGGTGTCTAATCTGTTGTAATGGTTCACTACAACAAACAGAGACCCAGTTTGGGGAAGACCTAGCAGGTCAATGGTATGGGGACAGCGGTATCTAACCCAGACTTTCTCTAGCCCTTGAAGCCTTCATAAGAGATGAGGATAACTGCTGGTCTAAAAAGTCAATGGCACAGTTAGAAAATGAAGAAGTTGGGCAGAAGCACAGAAACAGATTTGGGGCTTTTAAGAGGCCTAAGTTTAGAAAGAGCCAGCAGCAGGATGAGCCTGGTGACAGCATGGCCTCTCAGTCTTCTGCTTGAAGCCCGAGGCAACCTGGGTCAGCAGCCCCACCTCTGGGGCTGTTGAACTAATTGAGGCCAGCCTGAGGCTGTTATGGGGTGGGGGTGGGGTGAGGTGGGGTGTGTGTGCACATAGAATTGTGCCCATAATGGAGGCCACCAAGAGTAGGTCTTCCTCACTTCCAAATTCTAGAAGGCTAACCTGTTTTTATGTTCCTGCAGGGTCATCAACTTGATGGCTGCCTTTTGCTTTGGGACATTAATAGTCTTAATGTTGGAAATATTTTTATACTGCCAAGACATTAATGGGAGGGGTGTGGTTGCCCAAATCCCTCAGATAAGGGAGCAGGCACCCAATAAGGAAGGATAAGCTTATTGGCTGGACCCAAAGGTAGTCAAGTATCTGCTTGGCAAAGTTGTTGCTAGTGGAAGGGGGAACTCAGATTGCTTAGGACACAGTGAGACCACTTGAGGCTGACATGCTCCAGTCAGCTCACTTGTCTGGGAATTCCAGTAGAGGACAAGAAGCAAGGCCCAGGCCATGGGCATCCTCAGGAGGGAAGACACTTAGGATACTTCTGGAAAGCCATTCATCCATGCAC